AACTGAACTGTGGCCATCAAGGTCCATATCACCTCACACCAAACCGTCCGCCTTGTCCCCGTTTCATCGGCCCTTTTCACATGCAACTTCATCATGCGTGAACGAATCACCTTCATCCAGAAGCTGGGCGATTCTCTTGAGCCTTCATCTCTCAAGATAAATGGCGGGGTTATCAGCGGCCCTGAGGTCAAGGCGGTGCGTGAGGACAGAGTGACTCTTGCCTTGGAAGAACTCCCCACCGAGCTTCAGTCGTTACTGAAGGGAGTTCACGAATTGCACATCAGATGGATTAGTCCTGAACCGTACGAGTCCGTAAGCCCGTTGTTGGCCAGGCTACCACCCGGCTTTCATCTCTTCTTCACACCCGGGAAAGGGGACCACACCGCGTCGTGAGTCTCAGTCATTCAACTACTATTGGCATACTCTGACCTGGCCGTATAGAAATAAACTATGTTCAACTCTGTCCGAGATATTTGGACATGTCAACTGCTCGACTCCCGCTGTCAGTTATTTCATAGTCGCGTTATCGATATTCCAATACTGACGTCGCACTCTAGGAATCCTTCACCTCTTTGCCAAGCGACCGCTTCTCTCACTCAACCGCCTTCCAGTATTACCAACCTCTTGAAACCCTTTCAGGTTTCGTTCAATATGCAAAGCATCAGCTATGCTCTGGGTCAGATTCCTCCTGCACCGCCAGGGCAGATACCTTAGCAAAGGCTTCCTCCCTGGATATCTCATATGACACAATATCCCACGCCCTCAAGGTCACCACACTATGGCCATATCAACGCCAGCCTATCCACGCGACATCCCGACCGTGGTCGCGGACCGAAGTGGGCGTCTTGTCGGCCGACAAGCCCGCAACTCTCGACGCTCACGAACTCGGCATATCTGGCTTACTCACCGTGCTAGGCCAGGACTCGAAGCCTTCAGTAACCATGTTCACCTTCGCCTCGCGACACCGCGACGCCGAATCCGCATTCTCCACCAAAATCTTGGAGCCAGTTGGCCTCCACCCTACTCTTCAAATCCAGCTCGAGTCAAACAAGCCACCGGCCACAGACGCCTACTGCTCGCCGCACGCATATTTCACTCTGCCGAAAGGTATCTTTGCAGATAAATACCAGCTTGGGGACGATTTGTTTCTGGCGTCAAAGAACCTGACCGCGTTGCGATACATTTCGCAGCCTGTGGACCTCGAAGCGCCCGAATATGTGATGAAGGGGTGGGGTTCGGCGGTTCTGCTTCAACTTACACCCCCCAAGTCTGACAAGGCACAGCCCTGGACAGCCGAGATCCCTTTGCACCTACGGTACCTGGAGCCGAACCGGGGAGGATATGAGACTATCGAGGTGCCGTACCCGGCGGTGTTCTGGGCCTGCACAGCTGAGGAGGGTACAAAGTTTCCGAATAATCCCTTCGAGAGGGTTAACCTGGGGTATGATGGATTGTTCGGGCCTCGCACGGTGTTTTGGCATGTCGAACCGCGCCCCCTAGGGGGTGGTCAACTTCAGAATGCGATCCGGGTGCCGGTTCTGGACCTTGACAAGTCGGCGTGGGTTAACATTGGTACTGCGGTTGCGGTTTTGGTCGGGTTTGCATGGGTGGCGTGGAGGTTGGCTGCTGTTTATTTGAGTTCGGGGTACGGTAATGAAGCTGCGGCGCCGGTGACTGAGGCTGGTAAGGAGAAGAAGCGACAATAAGATCGTCAAGCTGGTTCGGATAGTAGACTGTGGCTGAATGAGTACTTGATATCTAATGAGCAAAGATGACACCCAATTTGAATTAATTCTTGAGTATATATATGAGGGGTACCAACGGAGTACTTCATGGCGGACTCTTCAATACGTACTTATTATTTTGACGTGTTGCACCAACAAAAATCCCATAATGAAACGGCCGAGTCCCCATATTTTGTCGCTCACCAGCACCTTTTTATTTTAGCTTTGAGCCTTTTCTTTTCTCAGTTGGCTTTGATGCTGTGGTTTCTGACCAGCCCCCCAAACGGCCCACATCGAGCTAAACTGACCACTCAGCGCCGACGAGTCAGACACACTACGGAGTACTTCAGTTTTGATTCCGGACTCTACCGATATCGCATTGGATAAACCACAATTCCGGTATAGTGTAACGGTTAACATATCGCGTTTTCACCGCGAAGCTCGGGGTTCGATTCCCCGTACCGGAGTTCCTTTTTATTTCTCATTTGTTTATTTTATTTCTTTTTACAATACATTGCGACATACTCTTCACTTAATTCTTTTTTTTTTTTTTTTTTTTCGTTATGTCATTCTATTATTATGCAGGCTATTATTGGGGCAGGTAGGGTTTTAGTTCATCGTTTGGTTTGCATTTCTTCGCAGAGAGCGAGGAACCCGCAATGATGTGAATCAGAGATGGATACCATTCGTTTTTCCTGATGCACTATAATTCCGCCTTTGACTTGCTGTTCCCGAATAACTGTGGTCGTCGGTCCATCGTTACTATTTCCTTGAATGGTTTCCAATTGTTACTTGGCAGTTGGCGCGCATGTTAACGACGTTCGTTGCATCAAAGTCGGATTCTACCGGTAGGTGCTCAGTAATCACAGCACTTGAAAGGGCGTCCGCGAAGCCCCTGACACACGTCATTACTGATTACATCAGAACAGTTTAACTACGTACCAAAGCAAGTAAAATTGCTGCTCCGGTGTTTGGTTCTTCCAGCACCCAAGGTAAACAGCAACACTCGGCAGCCGAGTCAATTGATCATTAATACTTGCGCTGTATCGACATGGCATGGCATGGCAGAGTTACTCAGCGGACATTATGTTGTTAGTAGCTACGGTCGATGTTAAGACTTGGAGCATATTGTTTCGTATAAACTGCCGATGCAGGTAATGACGATACTATACCCCTTGTGACGGACTAACTGACTGACGTACTTACTGACAAACTAACCACGTGCTTGAGTGGCTGGCTCTCCGCCCGGAACGATGATCAGACATACGTCTTTAAGTTCTTTACCGCAGTTTCTCGAGGATGAGAATAGAAAAAGCGAGCATGCGGTCGGGAAAATTGTTTGCCCTTCAAGTGAAGGTGCCCCTTTTCCGCTCGTCAACAAGATCCGTGCATTGAAAATGCAGCGCGCCTTTTCCTGCCGAGTAACTCGATGACTGACTGCGCAGATCAGATCTGTGGGCTGTGGTCTATCTCCGGGTCTCCTTTCGGAGTTATGGCTGAGGTATACTCGACTCGTTACTTGTCGTGATGTTGCACTTACAAGCTGTGCTTCGGATTGGGAGCTTCGGACTGGACCCATTTACAATCACGGGGAAATTCAAGAAGACAGGAGACTTCGGTAGAGATGAAGTTCTTCCTCTCCAAGATAGCTAGGATGCATGGGATTGCTAACATGGAACTGATATAAAGGGCTCTTGAGTTCCTCGTTCAGTCTTCATGTACAGCATCAACAGCAACAGCAACAGCAGATAATACTTCCAACAAACACAAACACTTAAAATGGCCTCATCACTCATCGGCAAACCCTTCAACGCCTACCGCGCCGTAGACGGCAAGCTCACCTCCACACCGTCCACCATCCCCTCCCTCGGCCCTTCAGACGTCCTCATCCGCCTAACCCACTCGGGAGTCTGCTACACAGACTACGAATTCTTCCGCACCGGCCTCCCTCTCGCACTAGGCCACGAAGGAGTGGGCATCGTCGAGGCCGTCGGGTCAGCCGTTTCGACTCTAAAGGTAGGCGATCGCGCCGGCGCCGGTTTTGGTCGGCGCAGCTGCGGCCACTGCCGCTACTGCCTGACCGGCAAGGACATCTGGTGCTACGAGCGCGTGACCTACGGCTGGGGCGACTTCGACAACGGGACCTTCTCGGCCTACTATGTAGGTGACGAGGCGCACTTGTTCAAGATCCCTGACGGGCTGGCGAGCGAGGACGCTGCGCCGCTGCAGTGCGCTGGTGCGACTGTTTACACTGCGCTGAGGGATACGGTGAAGCCGACGGATCGGGTTGGGATTATAGGGATAGGGGGGTTGGGCCATTTGGCCATTCGGTTTGCGAGCAAGATGGGGACTGAGGTTGTTGTGTTTAGTACCAGTCGGGATAAAGAGAGTGAGGCGAGGGGGTTTGGTGCGAGCGAGTTTGTGTTGCTGAGTGAGTTGGACAAGGTTTCGAAGCCGGTTGATGTGTTGGTTGTTGCTGGGGCAAGGTATCCGGATTGGAGCAAGTGAGTTCTATTCATGGGTGAGTTGGTGGTTTAGAAACTGACGGACGGTAGAGTGCTGGTTAAAGAAGTCCTCGCCCGAGCTGGAATTATCATCCCTCTGCCTGCTCCGACGATGGGGCCGTTGGTTCTTCCGTAAGTTTCCCTCTATTCCGGTCTCAGAAGTGGTAGTGAACCCTAAAACTAAACTCGTCTTTGTCCCCTCAGAGCCGATAACCTCATGTGGGAGGGATACAACGTGCACTCGAGTCTCGTGGCCTCCCGTGTCCCGCACACCGAGATGCTCGAGTTCGCCGCCCGTCACAAGATCAAGCCGACCATCCAGCTGTACAAATTCGAGGGCGCAGAGACCATCAAGACGGTCTTTGACAACCTTGAGAACAACAAGGTCAGGTACAGGGCTGTGTTGGAGTTCTAAGTCTTATGGTTCACACACACGAGAGTTGTGTCAATAAGGGATTAGGCTTTTTTTCGATAAGCACAGTTCTGTCTAGATGGGGAACGGGGACTGTCGGGGACTGTAAAGAGGATATAAGATACAATCCTCAAGACTTGCCCCCTTTCATTTTCTTTTATTTGTCATTCATGTCCATATAAGCCAGCCTGCCGTCAGAATATATTTCCTTTTCCTTCGATCTGATAGCTACCGACACAGAAATACAATATCCCCAGCCTAAAAAGAGCTTACTTTGGTGTGTGTAGTGATCTGACTTGACCGCCTTTCAACACCAGACTTGATATACGGAATACCGTCCGGAATGCACTAATCAAGTAAGCCCGATAAGCTCAGCTGGTTAGAGCATCGTACTAATAGAATCTCTGTGTTCTATCAAGTCCATGCGAAGGTTAGCAGTTCAATCCTGGTATTGGGCAAAACTGCTATACGTAGAACGTATATACTTAACACGAAACGGAAGCGATCCTTAAAGGCGATGAAGAGCCGGAGCATATGTTCCTAAAGCTAGTAACCTGTTTATATAGGGATATATTCTCTAAGTCTTTATCTCTAAGGATCGTTTCCGTTTCGTGTTGAGTTTCTACGTTGCTTATAGCAGTTTGCATTTTTCGACAGTAAGGGGGGGGTAATTGTCGTTATAACAGTCCTACTAGGTAGCTGTCATTTTGACTATTTACACAATTTATAGAGAGTACCTGTGACGGCCGGTGCGATTGAGCCTTGACGGAATTGACTGCGACCGTCAACGGTATATAACCCATTAGAATTACAAAGGCAAGGCTGACACCTTTGGTATTTTGGCATTCTTTTGCGATTGAGTGTGGTTTGGTGTAATGGTTTGGGTCATTGCACGGGCTCGTCACACGACATCCTAGGTTGGTTAGCACCTATAACGAAAACATTAACGACGGCCTTCTAGAGATGTAACTGCGGGATTACTACCAGAAACCTGCAAGACCGGACGCGGGTTCTCCTTTATAAACTAGTTTACAGAAAAAGGGGGAAGGGGGTTTAGTTGCCTGGCTTGGATGAAGCTGGTCAGTTAGCCGGATACGATAGGTAAATAGAGCTCTGAGCACACTCACCTCAAGACTAGGTATTCATTTATATAAACAATAAAAAGAAAGCTTCCAGTTGAGAGAATAGGACAGTTGACAGAATAAACAACATATATACTTTTCCTTTTCTATCCCGTTGTCAGTCTTTTTATAGCTAGCTCATGCCAGTTCTTTTCCTTTCTCTCCATTCAAATCGCTACCGACACAGAAACATAACACCGCTTGCCCACCAGAGATTATAATTGTCATTATGGCAGTAGAGTCTCCAGCCCCTCGCTCTATGCCTCACGCCCTGATAAGTACCTCAGCTTAACTGCTGGCGGCCATCAGTTATCGCTGAGCTTCCTTCGGCGCTATATAGACCCAACCTCGAACGTCAACAATCACATACGGCCATAGATAGTGGAAAGCTCGGGATCCCGTCCGCTCTCCCCTAGATAAACCACTAATCGCCAGACTAGTAGTTGGGTCGGTGACGACCAGCGAATCCCTGGTGCTGTATGTTTTTTCCTCTCTTTTGCTTTTTTGACTTTTTATTTGGTGTATTGTGCATGTATATATGTTCAGGTTAAGCAAAAACAAGGATCCTATCTATCTATCCATTCTCTTTGGATAAAATGCAAAAAGCAGGAAGCAAAGAGCAATAGAAACGATAGATAGAACAATCGTTTGTTTATAAGATGTTTTATATTTTGTAAGAAGTCCCGGGTTTGTCTCTCTCTCTGTGCCCGTCTTTCCACAACAACTCACGAAAACAGCAGAGAGAAACTGACTGACTGCACCAAGGCTGTCGGAATAACCTCGTACCTCTGCTTCGTAGCACACTACAATACGCGCAGAGACAAGATAAACTTGACAGGACAAAAAATAGAATCCCGATCCGCCGACCCATGTGTAGACAGACCTCTTCTGCAGCCGTCGCCTCTATCATTCCGTCCCCCTGGAAGGGTGTGGAATACATAATGAGGCGACAGCAGCAGAGGAGGTTTACACATGAGCCGGCGGATTCAAGAGTCACGATGCCCAATAACAGGATTGAACTGTTGACCTTCGCATGAACTTGATAGAACGGATATTCTATTAGTACGACGCTCTAACCAGCTGAGCTAATCGGGCTTTGTTTTCTTTTTGATGGAGTCAGGGTATGGATCCTGAGTTTATTAGAGAAAGTATCGTTTGTGGACATGGTTTGAGTCATGGTTGTGGATCAAAGAGAAACCGCCAGTCTTGATACCGATTGTTTGTGTTTACTTTTGTTTCTGGTCATCATTATCCTTTTACGAAGTTTCTCCGTCAAGTGCTGAGAAGACAATATTGCAGGAAAAAAAAAAAAAAAAAAAAAAAAAAAAACAACTTTTGGCACCTGTTAGCCTCTGCGTTTTCTTCTTCCGGGGCCAACAGGTAAATATATGATGGTATTTCTGTTCTCGTTCGTCTGTGAAATATCTGTTTCGGCCGCGTGCTGTGGATGTGTTCTGACTGTGATGTCTCTGCGCCCCCCTTTTGTCACCCCTTAACTTTCTTGGCTGTACGGTATGTCCTTGGCCGTTGGAGGAGTAACGAAATGAGACAATCCCAGATATCACCAGTCTTGATACCGGTAGTTGTGACTTTTGTTTCTAATCATGATTATTAAGTATGAAGTCTCTTAGACGAGTGCCGAGAAGAAGGGTATGGAAAACTTATGATAGACATATGGGCAGTCATTGTAGCGACGGCTATTTACGTTGCCAGCTGCTGTGGATGTTCTGAATGAAATGTCACCGGCGCCCCTTTTTGCTTTTGTATTCTTACCCCTTAACTTTTATGGATATCTGGTATTGTCTTGGTTGTTGGAGGAAGGCTAAATGCTGGATGAGAGGACATAGTCCATACATTCAGAATGTAAACCAAGAATGAGAGACAGACGGTTGGGCTGATATTGTTCAAGATCGAACGAAGGCAGATGTGGATGACATGCTGGATTGCTTTTATCCGGCCACCTAACTTGAGAGTAAAGATAAAAAGAAGCATTTACATTTCACCGGTATGTTCTTTCCCACAGAATCTTTTCTGATCTTTTGCAAGTGCCAAGGTACGCCGTAGTATCACTTCCAGCCTATTTACTTAACTTTACCTGTCCTGTCTGGTCATCCGCAGGAAGCAATTATCCCAGCAGACGAACAAAACACAGCTCTGTGAACAAACATGATAGACTTCAACCACATCTTGCTTACACTTTATCTCACTAGTAAGAGCATGCTATATTTTGTTACCCTGTTTACCACCTCACTGTCTTCCACTATATGATTATACAATTGTAAGCCATGTCAATGCTCTTACGCAGCACATACACTTGTCATGGCCGTCTAGATGTGACCCTCGCAAGGGAAAAGAAGCTAGCCAACATGTAGCAGGTACGCATCATCACACCTGTCCGCATGAGTGTGTGCTGGGATGCGAGTTTTACCTTGGCCACGCACTCACTACTCACGCACTCATGTACCATTGGCGCGGCTCACTCCCGTCACTTACTTACCGACCTACCTAGATAGGTAGACATCTCCATTAGCCAAGCATATCACCCGCGACAATGCCAGGCGTGTTTGACACCCATCCACCCACTACCGGCAACGCACACCTATCTGAAATGGGGGGCGCAACACTCAGCGGCCAGAACAATAGAAGCCGGGTTAATGGACAAGACAAGTAGCTGCTTCCTGGGAATGCGATTGGATACTCAGATATAGTATCGTCACAGCACTTAAGTGCCATGTCCGGAGCTAGGGCAAAGGTCGCAAGAGTGTTCGCCGACCTGATATCTACCTTACCTACCTACCTACCTACCTACCTACCTAGGCACGGAAGGTTTTGTATTTCCCCGTGCTAATAAGGGGTGCAATGTGATATGTCACAGACCACCTTACCGATATTGTCGGTGAGGATATATAGTTGACAGCCGGGTGGGGGTTTTATATGACAATACTCCTTGTGATATGTCCCGGGCAGTGATGGCAGTGTGTCGTTATGTCTCTATGCTATGGGCGAATTGGATGTCTTTTATTGTGAGAGATACCATGGTAAGTAGGTTAGTCCCGATATTGAAAGATGCTACGATATACTAGGTCCTTGTTATGGACGCCGCCATGGCCATGATACCAAACTTTGACAGCACATGACACATGCCCCTTTCCCTGGCACTCTGCCGCTGCACACCTACACGGCCGGCAGTTATGGAGAAATTCCCTCCAGTAGGATCAAAGAGACGCGAGCTTCCGGCAGGTGTGATGCACGCATGTTCATCACTGACAACTGTGGCAGGGTACTACCCTATGTAGCAGTGTACCTGCCTGTCTACCATGCTTTGCGGGAGGTCCTATCGTCGCCGTCGTCTTCTTCATCTTCTCGGGGACCATTTGATTACCATGCTTGCGTAAGTATGTATATGATATCCCGGAGACCCATGACCTTATGCCCACTTCATCTGCTGTGACAGCGGGAAAGAGGTCCCTGTACAATAACATAGGATCCCTGACAACAGTGAAGGCATTGCGTTCCGTAACATTCGCGAAGCCTTTTGCGAAGAAATGGTTCGATGTGGTCGATCACTGAAACCAACGAGGCTGAGCAAAACATCGTTTGACAGATAAACAATCCGATGTTTTCTACCAGACATAGGTAGTGTAAAACACACTAGACATGGATAGATGACATGCCAATCGCATCGTCTCGGTTATCATCCATCACACATCACAGACATCCTTAAGTCGTCAGTCTGTGTGTCCCAGTGTCATCTTCAAACTTGACAGATTATAAACAATCCGATGGTTTTTTTTTTTTTTTTAGGGATATACCAGACATAAGTGTAAAACACTAAACATGGATAGATGGCATGCCAATCGCATCGTCTCCTGAAGTCGTCTGTGTGTCCCGGTAATGGTCGGTCCCTTTGACCTCCTCCATCATATCTTCAAACTGACACCTTGCGTTTAAGGAATCCCTTCCCCCCGGTTGCCCGCGCCGGTGGCTTTTTGCACCTATTCGGACAATGCTTGCGAGGGAGGTTCGCAACTCGGGGAAAGCACTGATCTCTCAGAAAATATATTAAATACCGAAGCGTGACGCAGCATCAAGGGGAATAAGGTGTGTTTTTCCAGTCACAAGCGAGCAAACAAGAGGCTCGAACCCCCTTTCCTCAACCCTCGATCCCTGTATTTCTATGCAGAAAATACTGTATATTCCGTCCTGTCTTGTTTGCGGGAAGTGGAGGCACGCGCGGAAGAGAGGGGAAGGGGGGGGGGGGGGGCATGGCATGGCAGGGGAGTGAATTTGGGGTCTGTGGTCGGGGAAAGAAAGGGAATGAATGACAGCCATGACAA